ATCAAATGTGACAGAAAGAACATGACTCTCTGTGGGTAGAGTATGATTTCATTCTATTATGTTCAACATCTTTAAAATGCTCCCTGAAGGTCTATTATCAGGACCTAAAACTTGCACAACACCTAAGATCCCTCCAGCATACAGTGTGCCATCCTTCCAACCTGCTAGTTGTCTCAATGCTGCAAAACTAGACTGAACTAGGACAAAGTCAACATATTCTCTAAGAGGAGAACCCCTCAGGATATTCACTGAGTTACCTGACACAGAAAGAAAAATCCTAGTAAATTTATGAGATGATAAAAATCTGTATATTAATTTGTAGTTTTTATGAAAAGAAGTGAGCTGGAATTTTTAACATCTAAGGCAATTAGAGCACTCACGCAAAGTCAGCTGTGCATGAAAAAAATCCCAGCTACTATTCCCACTCCATTCTCAACCTCCTCTGCAATACTCATTCACATTTACATTAGATGTACCTACTCTACTCAATAAGGAAAAAGGAATAAATATCAACGTGGAAAAATACTAACAGGCTGATATGACAGAAAACATTCTGAAAGTGAGGAGAGGAAATGAGTTGTTTCATTAGGAAGCTAGATCGGACCCCAAATCTTCAGTCCTACTCTCCAAACCTGCCTAGTATCACGCAGAACAGGCAGAGACCAGTTGGTTCAAGCCCAGTCTCCACAACTGCAGACAACAATATAACTGACATTCAAAAGTTTTCCATAGAATATTGCAGGCCACAAAGTAATTCACAATACCTACAGCAAACTTAAAACTGAAACATGGCCAAGAATTACAATCACAACAGTGCAGGAGGAAAACTGAAGAGGTAAATCTCATTAATCTCCTGAGTACCTCAAAGAAGAGGAAATTTGTTAATAAAAAACTCTAGATAATCAGAGGACACAGCACTGCAGATTAACTGAAAAGAGCCTTACCAAGTGGCTGGAATTCCACTTCTTCTGTGGAAATGACCAAAGAAAGGTCCTGTGGGAAGAAGCTTACAGAAAGGCAAACAAATTCTTGCTCTGTTCTTGACACGTGCCTCACGACCGTAAGGAAACGGACTGGGTGATTGTTGTGCACCAACCCAAACTTGCTAATCAGAAACCAGCAGGAGAGTGTCAGGCCACTTGAGGGAGGGAACATTCTGGTGCCTGTAGACAGGAAACAAAAAGGCAGCAAGGAAGTTGTATTCCTTGTGCAGCCACTAGCAAACTGCTTTCTGTTGCATTTGTAGTCCAAACCATGCAAGAACTGACATTAGATTATGAGGTTTAATTTCTGTTCTATTAGATTTCTCTGCCTGTATTCAATATCACAGAGACTGCACATATGAGTCTGTGCGTATGTGTAAATGACCTAAAATTGACTGATAAGAAATGACTACTAGAACTCCATGCTATGGAGCTCATCAATTAGGAATCACTGAGCCAGAAACAAGTTCTTAAATTTTGCAAAAATTCAGGAAGCAAAAGGTACAGCCATTTCACTGTTCACCCAACAGAGGATTTTGATGTTTAGGAGAACCCCATTAAGTGACAGGTGCTATTGCTGCCATGGGAGATTACCCAAAAATCTGGTGGCTCTGATTTGTTAAGACTGTTTTCTTAGCAGCCTGCCTTAAATTTTTACTGCTAATGTTAATCTTAATTTATCACACTATTAAGCTACATCTGATACTGCATTTTGCTGAGCAGCTTGAATTATACAGTTCAGAGCTGGTCTGGGACACAGAGAAATATTTTGAAATACACAGCTTATTTGCTGCCGTTTCTTACAGCTGTTGAATGCTTTCAGTGGGGCTGAAAAGTGAGTGCTTACAGGAAGCTACAGCTGAGTCACAGTGCTTACCCATGCCAATTCCTCCCGAGACAGATTGGTCTGCACTGGGTCCCATAACAGTGGCCAAGGTAGGGAGGTATAAACACCTACAGAAGCAAGCACCCATTCATCAAAAATGTAAAATCATACCTGAAACTCACCAGTCACTTAATACTGCAGAATCATGGTAGCAAGGCAGAGAGTAAGCTATCAGCAATAACAAAACAGGTTGGCAAAATTGCTGCAAGGGATGCAGCAATAGGGCACATAAATAGGTTAAGACAAAGAGAGAAGTGAATAGTTACTGTGTCCAGAGTAAGGGCTTGGAGACTACTAAGCAGCTCAAGAAAAAAGCAACAGCAACGATACCCATAGCCTTCCATGGACATGTCAAACTCCACAAATGATGGAGCCAAAGCAGTGCTGTGTAGCTGGAAGTTTCGAGGTGATGTCATGGAGATGAGACTCATTGCAGTCTGGAGTGCAAGTGCAGATCCCTTAGACACCCAAGGAGAGTTGCTGACAGGCACAACTGTCTGAGGATCAGTTTTATTGTCCATCGTGTCCTCTTCTGAGCCTACAAGATCAATAGTGTCTAACCAGATCAATGTCTGCAACACTTTTTCCAGTCACAGATTTTGCCCATATTCTATTCATCACTGCTAAGAACAGCCCTACATGCTCTTGAAATAACACATCCTCAGCATCCTGCAGAAATACAAAAAAATACTGCACTAAAGGAATTTCAAAATGCGAGGCTGGCAGGAGAGATGAGCTCTACAGAAATGATAGCTGTATTTTCTCCCCACACATCTTCAGAAAGATCCAGACTTCACTGCTGGTAAAAAAGGTCCCCAACTCATTGGTTCCATTTTTCTTATACACAGACCATTCAATTCTGCTGTAACAGAACAGTTCCAAGCAACATGTGGGAGAGGATTTGAAGAAGGACTGCAAAGAACATAAGACCCAAATTCATACTATGCTGTATCAGGTGTCTCATGGGCATGAGAACAGTATAAGAGCCAAATACTATTACTGTAGCCTTCACCTGCAAAATACATTATAGCAGAGAGAGAACTTGGCTGGAAAATAGCCTGTATAAGCAAGGCAGTCTACTAGGATATCCTAGGGACTACAAAAAGCAGTGTTTTTATTTACATCTTTATTCTCCTTCTAGATATAAATCACAGGAAAAACATGCTGCAAAACCATGAGACAGCCTCCTTGGTTTGTAGAATATCATTAGTATTTTTATAGATCACTTCCATGTCTGATCTAAGAAAGACTGAGTCTGTAATCAGCATCTAGCTCGAGCTAAGATATTACATAATTTGATCTCTCAGTGTTGGTCAAGTACCACCCAACCTGGGCAATAGCCAGTATAGAACTTCAGCCATACTCCACCTTCACCGTGCCTGTCTGGGAGCAACCTACTCAAGGGAAGTTTCCTGTCATTTTGGAGAAATCTATAACCCAGCCACTGTATCAGCAACAGGCTATTCATTATGTGCTTACCTGCATTAGCTGAATCACTCCCCTGACATGAAAGGACGTTGGTCTTGTTTGTGCTGTGCCTGGAAGGCAGTATTGGAGAACCTCCCAGCCGAAGAAATTGCCTAACGTGAAAAAAAAAAATTAAGAAAGCAACTAAAAAAAGGAAAACAATGAAGCCAGACATTCTGGAGTCACAGCAACCAGGCAAATACAGCTCAGCCCTCTGGAGAACAACTTTCTTATTGAACACCAAATTTTAAAGACTGAGAAACAAGACTACACTTTTTATTTCTGCATCTATTATTGACGTGGATCTGAGATAAGAGAAAGTCACTTTTACTCTTCAGAAAACAGCTTCTCCATATGAAGTTGTTTTGCAATTACTTAATTAGTTCATTCATAAATGGCTTTACAACCCCTGCAGAGATGATGCAGCAGAACACTACAGACACACCATCTTCAGTAAGTCATTTAAGCACATATCCTGCAATCAATGAGAAAATAGTATTAACTGAGACTTGAAACAAAAGGCTGAGTCTTCCTGAATTAGAGCACTACGTGAAGCATCTGATTATTATATAAACTTCACAAAAAATTGCACTAAAGCAAATTGTTCCATTAGATACAATCTGATACCTTAACACATCTGGTTCAATAGCCTGTGATGCAAGCTTCTCAAACACTCTAGTGAGGGGCAGATGCAGCGGATGATTCTCATTGTGGAAGGCATCCTGACAGGAAGTTATGATGGTGCTCAGCAACCCAGATTCACACATCACCTGACGACTCTTTTCTGACTTCACCAGGGACTGGATATGATCAATCACAGCATATTGGATTTCCTGTGAAAGCTGAAATGGACACAGAACTGAAGTCAGAGGGCAGGAACTAGAATTGCACATGGTAGCTGATTTATTTTATTTAATTGGTTTTTTTCATTTGTCAAATCTCTGGATGTAAAAATCTGGCCCAGAAAAGAAGCCCCTAAGACCAGAGGCTCAAGTGCAACTGCATGGCTCTTCTGTAAAGTTCTGCAGTTGCACAGTATCCATATATTCATCTGAGAGCTGCTCAGCCATCCATAGTTCAGCTTTCGTGCCTCAACACTATGGTAGTGAAGGACCAGGGCTCTCGGTTGTCATTCTAAAGAAGGGACCACCACCAAGGGCAGCTTATTAGGCATAAGTTCCAAGACCAACCCAGGAACTCAGAATATATTTAACATTAAGCCTGTGGAGAGTCATACTGGCATGATCTACTCTTCATTCTAAAAGTACTGTTTTAAAACAAAACTGTGTCTAGCAATGTCATGAAACACTTACTTAATTTTAAACACTTCTCTACATGTTTTGCTGAATTGAAGCTTTACTTCATTATTGCTTCTTAATGATCTTAAAATCTCCCATTTCTCATAAATTATTTTTAGAGCATTTTGTTCCCAGTTAGGAATGGATTGTACCCCATTGACCTAACCAGATTTCACACAAAAGCAACTGGATCATATATTTAAACACAAATCTTACAAAGACGAATTGTTCCCCACTCCCAAGAGCTCTCCTGCTTTCTCATACACTTTTCCAGGAAACAGATACGCAAACTTTTAAAGAAAAGGATGACAATGGTGGCAGACATGCAAATTGGGGCACTGGGATTTGATTTTATAACATGAACGAGAATCAACTGGATTCAGGATAACCTAGCTTATTAAGTGTAAAGAGGAATTCAGCTCTTTTGCATCCAACCAAACAAAACTACTACAGGACAATTTCCAAGCCAACAAACAATTTGTTTTCAAAGTGTCTCCAGCTGCAACACTTAGATAATAATACTGGCATATCCCTTACAATATCCATACTGTTTTTGCAAACTCAACTACTATTTTTCATATCTGAAGCATGAGTTATTTGGATAACATTTTCTTCTCTCTGAAGGACTGTTCATTCCCAGGGATGCAATTTTCACTGTGCATCTCATTACATGTAGAAATCATCCACCAGACAGAACTATACTATTTTTCAGAGAGGCACTTACTGCTGCAGTGTTTCAAAGTCTCACTCATAACTTTTTGGATCTTTTAATTAATAGCTTACTCTATTTCTGACTATATGCAGGAAAGTATCAAGATATGTAAAACTACAACTAAACAGAGAACAACGCAGGTCTTGACTAAGTGAAACAGCTGGTTTACTCCAAAATAAATCCAATAAAAGCATAATGGCATACAAAAAAAATTGATTGTTTTCATTAGCTTAGCAGCTTTGTCAATACCAATATTGCCCTGTTTTGAATAAAATGTGTTGTTTTCATGGATCTTTGTTCCAGTAAAATAAGATTTTAGTAGAAATACTAAAGGTGTCCAGGAAACCACTCTGTGTGTTTCTATATGCATGGATTGATTTTCTTAGCACATATTATTTGCACCATGAATCAGGATATTGAAGGTGCAGTTAGAATGTAGTTGAGGTCTGCCTCAAACTAGAGTCTTAAGGGTAAAATGTCATGTAGCAATTTGCCCAATCTGCTTAAGCATTTCCCAGATTCTTGCTCCTAAGAGCCCATAGTTTCAAAACTTGGTAGCTGAATTTAATTCACCGTTATTCATCTTCAAGATTTTTATGCTATGTTCAAGATGAGCAAAAATGATGAACCTTTGGCAGTTTGCATTCACTTCATCAGGATGCAATTTCCTGAGATTAAAGAATGATACAGCAATAATTCTGTGTGCATTTGCAAAAAGCAGTTACTTCTCAGTCTCAGAGTACCTCTTACTAGAAAAGCTAGCAGCCCCTCACAGAAAATTAGAATTAACTTCCTAACAAATCACAGATTTAGTTTTACTAATGAAGAAATCAAGGCATCAAAAGAAGAGTTTTCAAAAAGTTCCAAGGGACCCAGGACTTTAAATTGTGCTTTCAAAAGAAAAGGAAGACATCCATCAGCTTAAAACCCACTGTCTCTAGAGAATTTGAGTCACTGCTGAAAATCATATGTCATAAAAATATTCATCAATTTATCACAGCTTAAATTGCTGATGCACTGTTCTCAACTGCAAGCACATTCCCTTTCTTTCATAATATTTTGCTGATTAATTCTCACCCACTAACAAGCAAAACTTACTTTGCTGACAAGTATGTATAACTGGTTTTTGCTCTTTGCAAATAGGCAGGGAAAAAAGTATTATGAACTCCATGAACTGTTTCTACGTTTTCAAAAACATGGAACAAGACAGGGCATAGTTAAATGCCCCAAATAAGTCACAACATCTTCATCAGGCTTGTCACATTTCGCCTCAGTACAGTATGTAAGAGAAACTAAAGATCTTTGCTCATATAAATACCAGGGTTACTACTGCCTTCTAGAGGAAATACACTAGCAAGCCTTGACTATTTGAAGCCAGGCAACAAAATCTCTTCTTAATGTTAAGGATCCTTTTGTTAATTCTAGTGGTCTGACACACCTCTTGCTCACCCACTTACTTTTAGTTGCACTACTTTTTCCCCCACAGTATTAGCTGAATGCAGCATTTCCTTCTCATTTTTCCAAGCTACTCTGCAGTGCTATAATATGATGTTCATCAGACATCTGAAGGGAAGACAAAGCTGTCCTGCCACCTTATAAATAATACAATTGCATGAAATAGAAGACAAAGTGGAAAATTATCTTCAGTATAGTTAAGCCAAGGATTCTTGGTAGAGGTCCTATCTCTTCAATCCAGGGTACATTACCAACAAGAATTTATGCAACTTTAGAGACACTGGCTGCTTTTTAAGGAGAAAGTGACAGCAAGAGAAACAGGACAAATAAAAGGGCAGGCTGTGGGGTTGGAAGCAGAGAAAAAAAATTGCTTAATTTGTATAAACAGTGAAAGCTTCAGAAGCTGGTTTATCAATGAACAAGCAAACTTCTAACTAAAAGCCTCCTACCAGAGTTTTGATCCATTCTCCATTCCTTTATCCCAAAACCTTAGCTGCACAATCCAAAGGGGAATGAAGCTCTGGCCAAATGCCTGAAGATTTTCCTTGCACAGATAACACAGTGCAGTAATTTAGGAATTCACTGTGACATTAACAGTTACATTAGCAGTAAAATCAGTAATATAAGTCTAAAGGCAGACAAATCTCAATGTCACACAGTCTTCTATGTCAGCGACCTTTTCCATTTAGAAATAATTATCATTTTTAAGAGATACAAATACCTGAAAAATGTTACTCTGTTAACATCTGCAGTGAGAACAAGTAGTTTAGGCTAAATTTAAAACAGGGATAAAGGTCTTTTTAAAAGGTGTGAAACTTGTTTTGATGGACAATATTTTACTTTCACAACAGTGAATATGACAGCAATTCATCATAGGAGGGACATGGATGAAAACAGAAAGGACAAATTCAGCTGTGGAAGCAATAACATTACTTAACAAAAGCATGGATAATTTCTATAATGAATCATGTGAAGATTTTTTTTTTCCTGTACTCAAAAGAAATCTATTGGGATGACAACACAGAACTGAATCATGCTTTGATTCTCTTTTCAGAAGTTGTTTCTTTTCCCTTACTCAGGTTTGTCAGATCTAGGAGATCTCGGTATCTGACATTGCAAACAAGAAAGATCTGGCATGACACTCTGGAATCTTAAAAGCCAGAGTTCCACAATTCCAGGCAAGGATAAGATGTGTCTGAGAGGAAATATCTTTCTTTTTAAGGTAAAAAAACCACAGTGAATATCCTGGGCCACATCTCTAAAATGTATGCTAACCTGTCTCTACTTAGTTTTTGAAATGTGTAATGCTATCTTTCATCATTGAACAGGCAGCATATTAATAAAAGGAAAGTCTACCTTTTACTTGGGCAAACATTATGCAGTTTGATGGAAAATAGTTTAGTACGAGTCATGGGCATGAACATGAGTAATGTCCTTTAAATAGAGGTTACTGACTCAAAGACTGTCTCTTGGGCAGTTTTAAAGTTTTAAGCAAATTTTCATACCCATATGACATTCAAATGTTTGGGTTTTTTGGTCATATCTAGGAATGACAGTAATATACATCCACAAATCTATTCTCCTCAGCTTTTAAGTTTCATTCTAGAGAGTATTAAGAAAAGGATGAAGTGCAAAATCACCTGTTTTAATGTTTGCTATTGTTTTTTTCTATACTGACAGCCTCGAGTGCTTCAATCTATCACTGCTTGGGTCTGACAAAGGTCACTGAGAAGTTGCAAAATTGGCAGGAAATGGATATTATCTCTGAGAGTCAGAATCAAAGTACATTAATTTTATTGAGTTCCATTAATGTTTCTGTAAAAGCAGTGCTTTCTCATTGCCAATTCAGTAAAAGTAAAGGAATTGCACATGACCTGAACTGATTCTGAAGATTTTTCCAGATTACTCTTGGATACCTGGGCCTAAAATATCCATCACGGCAGTAAAGGGATGAGTTACTGCCTCTTTTCCAGAATTGCTCCTAAAAAATTTACTATTTGACTCAGTCTTAAATTCAGAGTAAGAAGCCCCTTCAGATTTTTTCATGAAAGTCTGCAGTAAAAAGCTCCATTCACAAAGACATAATTTCATCTCTCACATAACTGCCAAACACTGTTGTGCTAAAAAAGAACCAAAACCAACAGAGTAGTAACCTGCTTGGGACAGAATATATCCATCCAAAGAGTAATTCCTTCAGTTATTTTCCTTCTACCAAGTAGCTCCCCTTCACTGGCCATGGAGTTCCACCTTTTCATCAGATCTTACCTAACTACTGTGTTCCAAGTAGCATCTCATTGCATAAGTGTTCATGCAGTGGTATATTTTATGACTAAAGGCATTGAAGTCCAGCCTTTCATGTCTGTACCTGGTAGCATCAGTGAGCTTCCCAAGCTCTGAAATATTCTATTCATTCTCTCACACACTTTTAAATAAAAATAGCCCGGAAAAATTCTATTTTTCCTCTATCCTTTTTGTGGGTTATTTGGTGAAAAACTCATCAAGACATTTGTTAACTCCAAGCTGGAGTCTGAATTAGGATCTTGCATAACAGTGGTCCCATTTTACATAAGATAATCCTATTCACAACAGCAATACTAAATAAACACTACCGGCAATAATTTATTGTTGACTAAGAAAAAAGGAGCAAGAAAGAAACAAAAGATTAACATACTTAAATATATAACTGAGGTTGCTGGAATTTGTGCTCTAGTCCTTCATATTTTTAAGAACACTGCCATCTACTGAGGGTCTGAGAGGCTTTCTCTCCTACAGAGCTCAAGTCCTAGAGCCAACTCTGACTTCCTGATGACACTCTCATCCAATTAACTGTTCTACTTGATTTTCAGAAATTAATTACTGTAATTAACAAAATTTCACTAGCTGATGGCTTGGTTCCACTAAACAAAGTTGGGATGAGCCAGCAGTAACTTGCCCTCCCACCTTCCATAGCTCTGGATGAACAATCTGGTTTTATTTCAATCCCTTCATATGTACTTTAACTGTATCCAAGTATTTTAGACCAAATAGCAGATACAATATAGCAAATATGCCTATGCAGAGTGGTTGTGTGCATGGAAGGTTTGACAAAGCAAAACAGGTTCTAAGCTGCATTGAAAGTTTATGGACCAGTAAGTCTGAGGAGCCAGGCTGTTCTGGTTGCTAGGTCCGTTAGCAATACTTTAAAAAATTTTCAAGGGATTTCTACACTGTGCCTTTACAATAAGTATTCTGGGACCAAATTCCATGTACTGCTTCAGACAGGTATAGAAACACTTAGTCAAACTGATAGCCAAGAGCCTTTGTCGTTTTTAATCTGTTGACTCAGTGAAATTTGTGCTGTTCCTCTTGACAGTGTTCTAGGTAAATGTTAGTACCGCCACATTTGCAAAGAGTAAGCAATTCCTGGAAATAAAGCTACAGAAAAGTAGAAGACACTGTTTAGATGTCACTTTGATATGTTCAGACTCACCTGAGCATGTCCTTCTTTGTACAGCTTTGGCAGCAACCTCACCATGACACAGACAGCACCTGGATGTACAATGGTGCAGTCTCTCATTTCCAAGCTGCAGTAAAAAGACACATCATCATAATGATCATTAACAGTAGCAAAGAGGGTCCAACAATGTTCCAGCAGAGTACAGCGTTAAATCCTCCTAGCAGTAACCAGGCTCAGCATTTGAAACTAAGCAAACAATACAGATGACCTGGATGAGCTGGAAGCTTCCTTAGAGTAAAAATGACAGGACATTACCTGCTCATGAGCTCAAATCTGAGGGACCTGCACATCCCTGCGCATGTGCAGCTGCCTCTTTATACAAACTGTGCCTTTGAAGGTACTCGCAGTACAAAAAAAGAGACAACCATAGGAATCACTGATATATCAGTACTTCAAAACATAACAGAAACAAGCAAAGATGAGACAGTCTTGGTGAAACCAGTATGCCAGCCTCCCCTTTCAACATCAGAATCTGCCCAAATTAGTAAAACAAAGTTGAATATCTGTGCTTCTCCACAAGTTTTCATTTTTGCCATTTATCACCTTTGTATGTTCAGGCACAGGAAGAAACTGAGGCATCAGAGACACCACAGAGAAGATCTCCTTCCACCATGATGCAAGCATTAGATGTATCTCAAAGATGAACCCACAGCATAGCAGAAACTCCAGTGCAGGCACTGCAGGCTCATCCTGTTCAGAGTATCATCAGCATTTCTGGGTGCACCTCTGAACTGGAGTTGTGATGTGCACTGTCAGAAACATCCTTCCCAAACAGAACTCACAAGAAAAGCAAAGGCAACATCTAACTGTTGTATTTAGACCAACAAAATAATGCACAATATGCTTTATGGACTGTATAAAACAAGTAAAAGAGTGAGCATGTAAAAAAAGAAAAGTTTTACAAGGGATCTAAAGAAGGGTAAAAAGGTTGCAATTAAACGTGTTTATTAGCCACTTCCAAAAAAAGGATTATCTGATACATCAGATAAGCAACGAGTAATGTGTAGCACACTGCCACACAGTGACAAATAATTCTTACTGCACCCTCAAGAAAGATATTTTCAAATTAAGTGCTCATTTGCAATATTTTCTGTACAATGAATCAAAATCAGATCTGGTATAACGTGTTGCTGCAGTAGTGGCTCCAGTGTGGATACATACATCTGTACTTGACATGAATGTGGGTGAGCTTTTAAATGTCAAACAATAAAAAAGTAGTCTCTGAAAATATGCTCTCCTCCCATCTCAACCCAAAACCCCTAATCATTTTTAAAGAGAAAAATCCAGGCTCACTAAAATCAATAGGGTTGAGATTGTGGTTGGAAAGCTTACTGGCTGGAAACAACCTTGGGGTGCTGGTCAACATCCTGCTAAACATGGGCCAGCAGTGTGCCCAGGTGGCCAAGAGGGCCACTGACATCCTGGCCTGTATCAAAAACAGCACGGCCCACAGGACCAGGGGCAGTGATCGGCCCCCGCCAAACAAGACTGGACAGGCCAAACGACAACCCCAGGATACAAGTCTGGGCACAGCAACACAAGAAAAAAAGGAAGGCCCTAAAGGACGGACAAAAAACAGCAGCCAAGCGGGCGAAGAATCGAAAACAAGACGAAACAAACAGACTCCGGCACCCTAACCACAAGACCACAAGGGACCCCCCCCACTACAACAAAAGCACCAGTACCATAGCAGCAAGCACCTGAAAATAAACCAGCACCCACACCACAGCACAAGGGCGATCCAGACAACCACACGAGTCCACTCCATCTATGTCACCAGTATCATGCTACGAATCACAAATCTGCTCTGCACTGGCTGCTACTTAAAAATAAGATAAATAAGAGGGTTTGGGGACAAAATGAGACGTCACAAAGAACCTGAAGAGCCATTAGCACAGTGAGTCTGTAGTAACAGCAGTTGCAGCAGCCATTCTGCTCAGGTGGGCACAAAGAAGGGCTTCCCTCCCAAAGAGATCAGCCTCAGTTAACACAGCTTGCAGCAAGCTATGTCAAATCACCAGGAGCAAAAGGAAAACCAGAAACCAATCTGTCACAGAAGGTGTTTCAAACATTACTGCAGGAGCAGGAACACAGAGGGCTGTTTTTGAGATGGGAATGACAGGGTCAATTCCCCCGTGGCCCAGCAGCTTGCAGCATCACTGACCACAGGACAGTGTAAGAGGCTAGAATATTATCCAGCACTAAAATACTAACTTTGGGATGTTAAATATAGGTTGTAGGATGGGACATCACAGGCCACCTACACTGACTGCACTCAAGTTCCTCCTTTCAAGCTGCATAGTTGCAGCCTGAAGCCTTCTTCAGGGGGAAGTGTGAGTTTGGAATATAGCTGAGAGGAAGCTGCATCAGGGGAACTACAGGCTTGCAGAAACTATGGGAACTTGATTTCTTATTTTTATTTTCATAAAATTTAAAGTATCCAGGCTATGTGGCCTGATGATTGACAGCTTTCCAGTACATGTTCCTCTTCTGCGTTTGCATACATTTGTCATGGACAGTCTCCAGGCACCTCTGGCTAATTTGATTCCCTCTTGTGTCTTCATATCCCAGAACCAAAGCCAAAAGGTCCTGAAAAAGACACTGTGAATGGAATGGATCCCAATTTACAGGATTAATTTCTCCATGAATGCTACTGAGTTATTTCACAGCCTTGCAGCTCAGCAGGCAAAACAACACAAGGACATAGGAAGCCTTGCTTTACATTTCACATCTAATGATTTGAGAAAGACAATTAGAAGACAGAGTCATACCTTTCCCAGCATTGCCACTGATCTACTCTTTCTCCCATATCCTCTCTTATTACACATTTAAGCAACACAACTACCACCATCTGTATACTCTCTACACATTAACCCATGTTCTCCCAAATTGGGCTACGAAGATCTACTTTGAAAAGAGCATTCATTCCTCCAGAGCTACCAACTCCTCTCCCCAGCACTGAGTATCCAACCAGAAGCTTACAGTGTAATTAAGAGTGGTAATAGGGAGCAAACATCTCCATGACTACTTCAAAATCCGCTGCACAAGGAACAAAGAAAGCTACTGTACGTTTTCCTTGTTGCTTCAAACAAGTGTAAATATAACCAGAAATGCTTACTCAGCCTGACCAGTACTTGGGGAACAAAAGCTCTGCTGACTTCAGTGAGTGCTGCTACAAGTGGTAGAGCTAATGTCTTGGTCTTTAAACCTAGAAGATGACTGTGAAATAAACTACAATAAGGGTTGAAGGAATCCCACACTTATCAGCTTAATCTTTTTAAGCATAACTCCAGCCAGAAATGTGTTTGATAAAAGGACTGAGAGATTCGAGATAAAGCTACAGCTGAATGAAGGGACAGAACTCACAAGTTACGAAATCCAAGTTATTCAGAACTGATTCACAGCTGACAGCTGTGTTGATTTCTGCTATAGTCATTCCTTCCTACGAAGGATATATATTTTTATATAAACCTTCATTCAATGAGGGAGGCAGCATTACTATTCCTTTTCCAATCTTCTCTAATTCAGCATGAATAAATGAATGAGAGCGTGTCTGCACACATGCGCTTGGACACATATGCATAGGGCAGCATTTAAAATAACTTAAAATAACTTCTATTTTTAATGTAACAGGTGACTAGAAGCAGCTTTCCACATAATTGAAAAAGTCAAAATTGGTTGGGGCAGACTCAAGCAGAGACTAAGCACAAGTTGCAAGTCCCAGCAATTCTTTCCTTAGAGTCCATTCCTGCTCCCATATTGCAGGAGTCAGAACCTTCAGCACAAACTCTGCAACTATTGGGTTTTGTGTCCCACTGCTCCACTAAATCCTTATGCCCTAATTTTTACCATCAGTTACCTTTCTGCTGCCTGGAAGCCTGAAAGTTGGGATTGTGACACTGATTTGTTTGTTCTTAGGTTATATCACACCTTACCTCAGTTTACTACCACATAAAATGCACATACTATATTTTCTGCGGCAAATAAAAACTTACTTCTCCTCAGGGTTTCCCCATAGCCTATGGGCAGAGGCAGGTAATTTGTTGCCTGGTATTTTGAAAGCAACAGGATGCTCTTCTTGAGTTTGGGGTCCCTCCTGATCACCTCTTGATGTTTCTCCCATCTCTGGCTTTCTCTCCTTGAAGTAGCTCTCCTGATGGAGGGTTCCTTTTATCATGAGATCAAGAAAATTCAGTATCCATATGCAGTTCTTTAGCCACATTGGGAAAGGTTCTGAAGAACAGAAAGCTGCATCCAAAAATTCTGCAAACGTCCTTTTCTTCTCAAGGTTCAGAGGAATTTGCCATTCCCCTTGCCATTCCCCTTGTGTCCAGAAGCATCCAAGTGATCCGAGATCCTCTGCCATCTTTTCAAAGAGACCACTCCTCTGGAAGAAATTGCTGTTGACAGGGTCTAGGTGCAGGGCAGCTGTTACCACCTGAAGTGTGTAGAAAACAAGCTCCAATATGCAATTCTGTCCAAATGCTGTCCACAGCCCAGATGGAGGGTCCTGCAGTGCACCTTCCATGTCTGAGAGGAGGGACAGGAGCGCATTGAATCCACTGCAGGTTCTGAAAGCTGAATGGCTCTTGAGACTCTCCAGTATCCTCAAGAGTGACTACAAACATTGAGAAGAAAGGAGCACTTAAATCAAGGAACAAAGAAGCTTTAGAATATTTTAAAATTCCAAGTTTGTATCAGAATTCTTTCATTGAAATTTCACTCTTTGAAATACAAAAAAAAAAAGTTGATCAAAATAAAGGTCATCATTGCACAACTTTTCTCTTCCTCCCTTCCCCCGTATACCCAATGAGTCATACAACCAAGACTTGAATGCACCCTGAGGAGCAACCTGTGGAGTCAGCCTGACCGGTAGGGAATAGTGCTCACAACAACGAGTAAAGAAATCAAATTTTTCGCATTACATATCCTAGTCAGTTTGGCCAGAGGTGGTTTCATACCTTTGGCTATTCTTTTATCAGTCTTCTCAGGCTCACTCAAGAAACCTGTCTTTGCCTTAAATAAATAAAAGTAGAGATTCAATTGTAAATACCTTCATATAGAAACCAACAAGAAGGTGCAGCTCTCTTTAAGCGAGTCTTCCCGCAGTCCTGAATACGCATGAGAAGCCACACAACTTTTGCTCATATGACTGGGGAGGCCCTTTCCAAAAAAGCAGTGACTCATGATGGCACAAAGAATGCTGCAAGGAGCAGGCTCTCCTCATTAAGAAAAGCAATAATAATATCTTTCTCAGCTGAGGTATTTTTAAAGTTTGCACAACTTTTTGGACGAAAAAAAGTCATAAAAATGAATGCCACTTGCCAATATTACACATGCATAAAAAACCAGCTTATGCCACCTGTCAATTTTGAATGTTATGGGCTCGCCATTTTAAAACAAATCTAGACAAGTTATTAAGAGCTGTGGAAGTAAAATTAGTGAGAAAAAAGAGCTTGCAAGGAAACAGACTAGTATATTTGAATGTAATCCATCCCAAGTTTTTGGAATGTTGCACAATTCGTTTTGTAAATATGATGTTCCTACAGGCACCAGGGTCTTTTCACATTTGAATTCATAGTTTTTCACATTGGAAAGGGTTAAATTTACTCTTTCCCAAGAGATATCTGATGAAAGAGCTTCACTTCACAGCCTTCTGAAGAGGAACAGTTTCTAAAAGAAATATATTTGCCCATAACAGGACCTAGGACTGTGGGAGAGGGCTGCCAGAACTGAAGGGGGAAGGGGAACTCCATTACTGTCATTCAATTTTGTATGATAATGTATCAAACCAGGCAGAGACTTTGAACAGGGAGTAAATTTAATAACTTAGAGTTGAAGTTATCAGGATGGCTTTAACACATTTCAGAGAAGGTCAGCAGTAAACACATTTCCTCCAGCTCTAACTCAGTTAGAATTTAATCACCTATGAGTTAGTATTCCTCTGTCTTGAATCTATAAAACTGATGTCTGCTGGAAACCCCCTAACTCAGTTACTGTTAACAGAATTTATTTCACACATTCCATTATTTGTTATTCTTCATAATTGTCCACGTGCCACGCTGGAATACGGCAGTGCTAATTGCATTTGGGCTCAGGCTTTAACAGCTAAATATACATTAGCAAATCAATCTGAATTTGTGTGTAACACAATCACAGTCCCAATGGATAAAGATAATAAATTCATTTGCTTATATTATGCTTTAATACAGTTATCATTTGTCAAAATTAGACACTGAAGTTGCATTTATTTTCATATTAGTTTGGACACCATACTCAACTTTTCCACAGATATCGTTAAAGTTTACTGTTTCAAATCAAAGCTACAACCTTTTTCTTTTTTTTTTTTTTAAGTAACATTGTTCTTTCATGACAGAAGAAATTGTTATATTGTGCTGAAAGGTGAATTCCATTCACACTTGGCAGAGAAGGTAGAATGAAACTTTAAAATCAGTGCTTTTAACACTGTTGCTTTTCAATTTGATGCCTATGACCTAAAACAAAATAAAGCACAGTGATTCCTTCCCCCGTTTCATTGCTTACAGATCAGACCCTCTGTAAACATAATGGAGGCTATGAATAGTTCTTATTTCTTTCTCCAAATATTCATAAAACTCCTCCTTTCCATCACCTCATCTCTTTTCCCACGACACTGGTGGTAAGAGATGACAAAATTAAGGACAGTAAACTTTCAGCCTTGGAAACTTATCAGAATCAAGCTGTTCATATCATGTCTACCCTCTCCCTTCCAATCTTTCTCCTTTACATCTCACATCTTCTCTCCACATCTCCACTTTCATTCACATTTGTTTCTCTTTTCTCTGTCACATTACATAGAATTGCTCGTACAATTGTGCCTTTGGCATTTCCATTTCTCCCTTCTCCATTCCTATTTAAGTCTTCAAAATACTTCATAATCTGATACTCAGTGAAGGTGTTGACCATACATGCATTCCTAAAAATCAAAGTGCCTGATTTACCACAGTCAAGATCTGGCCCATGGCTCTTTTTTATTCTGCATTTACCACCTTGATAAAAAGACTGTGGTGACATGAAAAACAATTTGCCACAAAGCCAAGAAGTTTCCAAGAAAACAGTGCCCAAGTGAGAGCCACATTAATTACCTTCAGCAGATCTAGTTTCAGCGACAGTTCCCCTTGAGTAGAAGAACAGAGGGCCCCAATAATAATGCTCATATATTCTTCATAATTGATAACTGACAGCTGCTCCAAGATACTGAGAGTAGCACTCCTGTAGCACTCATCATCCAAAAATATCTTGATATATGGCACCATTCCATAGTCCTTCAGAACAACTAGGGGAAAATATGGTATCTGTTACTTAAATTATCCTTTGCTTGTAGTTTTTACAGGCAGATTTTCAGTGTTGGTGTGAGTGCCACATTTCTACAAATACAGCAGGACAGGTAAGAGGAGCAGCCGGTTAAGCTAAAGATGACACAACTGAGTGGCACAAGAACAACTAGGGATAAAATGACTGGATGACCATGATTTCCAATTGTCAGAGATGACAGCTTCCCAATACAATACTGAGTGAAAAGAAAAAAGACACCTTATTAGTTTTCAGCTTAACCATCTCTTTAACTTAGGAAGGGAACTTTGTGATGGTTTCTGACAATATATTTACCCTGTGTAAGATGTTGCAAACCTGATGATTCTTGGTTTCCACAATGAATTGACTGCATTCCTCTATGCAGTAGAGTTCATTTCTCTATTACTATGTTCCACAAGATTCCCTACACACAGACCTCTTAGGTATGCCAACACTAATGTAGGAGTGTCACTCAGCATGCATATGATCCAATCAAGATTTCAAGTAATAGATACAATGGAAGAAAATCCTGATGAACAAACAATGCACAACAGTCACATACACACTCTTGTTTTCCACAAGCTAAGTTTGTCTATTCTATTTAACCACTTCAGGAGGATCCACATTGATGAAGAAAAAAGCTGACTACTGGGATAAAGTTCAGTATCCAGGATGAGAAGAATACCTTTGTCATATTTCTTCCTGTTATCCCTATGCTTCTAGCTTCTGTCCTCTGCTTTTGACTGAAGCACAAAAGTAAGAAAATTTATTGGCACTCCTTCAGAGCATGGCCACTTACCACTAAATATCATAATGGTAATGCAGTCAGCTGTATTTTCTTACCTGTGTTCCTCACGGACCTCGCTGTAAGGGCAGCCACCATCTTCAGCATCACAGCATTTAATTCCTTCTCAGTGCCTTCTTCCAGACCAGGCAGATCAGTTCCAGCTGTCAGTATATTTAAAGTCATAATACAATATATAAGACAAGGATAACTGTAGCTAAAGCACATCAAACCAGTTCTCCAGCAAATTCTAGGCTAAATTTCTGGAAACAAAGAGAGGGGAGTAGTGATAATGTCTTCTCATCTGTCCCTCTTCCCTGTGTTTAAATTTACCAATTACATAGCCATTCTATCATTCATTCTGTAACATTTACATCACCAAGCTATCTAAAGCGGTGAAATGTAATGCAAGACAGAAGAAGGCCCCTATGCACCAGCTCATAACCAGAAGGTAAGTTTTCAAGAACTTTGGTATTAATCCTGGCAATCCTTATGTACCTTATAAACTCTTGTACCTAGTTTTCTGATATCAAGAATGCAAATCTAAGTGTCCTTGCAGGTGATGGATGTCTGCACTCCAAAACTTCTGTTGATATTCATAACCCTCCTGTTGCTTGGAATAAATGTGTATAAATAATTCAATTATTCTTGCTGCATCAGAAGTTATGCCTAGTACTTTGGGTCCCTCCTCCTTTACTAAATTACTCTTGCACTGAAGTTTAAAGGCATTTCCCAATTAATATAGTAGAGAAAATACCATAATGAATTTTTCTTTCTTTAAAATAGCAGTTATAAACTTTTAAATACATGAGTCTGTCTCCTAAGTCAGCTGTACTCCACAGTTACCACACTAGGACTATTACCTTCCTGTTTTCATGCTAGGATATAACTCTATCACAAGGGGAGGTAGTAATTGTGGGTAACATCTGGCCAAAATTCAATAAACTTCTTCCCGTCATTATTACTGAGGATTAAAATGTTATTTTCAGAGGAACTAAGCTTTGTGGAATGCTCTTTCTTGCCCCAGTCTCAAGATGGCATCCTAGAGAACCCCAGATTAAGACCTGTTTAAAAATGTGGCTGAAGGGCACTGTCCAGAATAATTCATCATACACTAGTGAAGAATAACCCAGAACTGTTTAGACTAGTGAACAGAACAACAAACAGCAAAGATTTCAGAGAGGACCCAGCTTAATGTGTCAAAAATTTAGGCCAGCTGGCTTGCAGACATCATCTAGCTACTCAGTGTATAAAATACATAAATTTACTGTAGAAAGAGATTATTCATTCCTATTGATCTGCCTTAGTAATACAAGACATTGTGAGTGGCATTAGATTGTACCTGACTTCCTCAGGATCTTGGCTTGCTTCCTCAAAAGTGCCAGCAGCAGGCCTAAGAGCCCAGAGTCACGGAATATATCGCTGAATAACAGGTCCTTCTGGGTCATGCTGAGAAGACACTGGAGTGCTGTTAAGGTGCAGAATGGTACTATGTTTTCCTTTATCAAATACTGAACCTTCTTCAAAATTTCATGCGGGACATAGGACAGGTCTAGGACTATGGACTCCACCAGTCTGAAGAACTGGACTTGGACTGGGTATGGTTTGAAATGGATTATGTCAGTAAATTGGTTGATAGGTTGCAGTGTCCATTCCAGAAGAAAGAAGTTCACTCTGTCCCAAGCCCATATGGTACCAATTGCTGCCAAGATTCTTCCACACAGGTGCTGATCATTACTTTTCTGGAAAATGGACTGCAACACCTGAAAAGCCTGGAGGTTTTTCACTGTCATTCCTGTGGGATAAAACCAGATGAGATCATTTTTACAGGAGTGCTAGTTAAGTATGCAGTCACCATAACTGTAATATTAACTCATGCCTGAAAGTGGAAATAAGAATAAAAGACACAAGGGATGTGACTGGGAGGTATATTCTTGACCTTGGATCAGACCCTACAGATGGCATGGTCATTTCAGCTTGATGTGAGGGAGCATTCAGACTCCTGCAACATTAAACACATAAATCAGAAGGTGCCGTTTCATACTCCTTCCTCCATATCCAGACGGAAAATGAATGGAGCTTCATCTTTCTATGACCTGCCTACATAGCCACATGTGTGTATACATACATACATACATACATACATATATATATATATATACTGTACCAGAAGACCGTGTCCATTCAAAATCAAAGTGTGGTAGTTGTGGGTGTACAATATTGCCAGAAACTTTCAGTTCAGTTTTTCCACAAGTTGTAAGGCAAGTCAGCATGTCCACGATCTCGTCCAAATAAGGGTCTCCTTCATTTTGCTGCAACCCCTCACATCTAGGAACAAAATTTGGGACAGTCATATGTTGATACCTTTATAATACAAACATTTTGGATATATCATTGGGTACTGAGCACATAGGAGCTACATACAGTAACTCTACACCATGGTAGAGTTCTGAAGCAGAAGAAAACTTACAGACTGAAAGAAACTGAAGTGACTCTGTAAGAGTCTTCTGAAGAAAAGGAAGATAAGTGTTGGAATTTAGTCCAGCTATGTATCCTTTAAAAAAAGTAATTATCTACAAAAAAAAATGTCTGGCTTGGGGAGTAAAAGTTTAAATTTTGTGAGGGTTCAAAAAATTAAAACAGACACTTCATATTAAGAGGTGGGTATATGGTTGGCAAGATAAGGAACTTGCTAACTGAGATTAATAACAGAAAAATCTCAAGCCTGAGGAAGAAAAAGATGTTGTTTTGCCTGAGCTTTGTGAATCAGACATAAAGATGGCATGTCTCTCCCATGTAAGGAAATAGTTTGAACTGTAACTCCAGATTTGCCATAGTTCATAGACTGAAGTGAGAGTGTCAAAGGACAGAGACCTGCTTATCGTGTCATCCTCTTCTGTACTGCTTAGAGGGGTCAGGTCTTAAGGAAAACTGCAGCATTTGGGCATGGGCTAGTGGCAGAGCAACACACTGATACTAGAAGCTAGAAAAATCTTAGAAGAAAACAAAACAAAATGTTCTGGTTTCATCTAAACAAGAAAAAAGAAAAAGAGAGCAAATGTTCTCTTTGAAAGAATGCTATTAGCAAGATTATTTTTACCTTAAAAAAATTCTAAACATCAGAGAATAGGAAACCTGGTCACACAAAACACTGTGGAAAGAAGCTCTCCATCTATCCCTTTATGGCAGTATATGCTGGGAACGGAGACCAATCTGAAGCCCTGAGCACCTGAATGCTATTTCTGTCTCCCCAGCCTAGTTACATCAGTTAAAAAGGATGGAGGGGATTCATTGAAAAAGATCCTGTGTTTCTCCCCTTATGTGGTTAGAATTTAACCAGAAATATGCATTTCAACACAGCTTATTTATAAGAGAAAGCTAGACAATCTCTGGTTGTCTGTAAAGAAGTTAATAATTTTGTGCCATTCAAAAATCTTGAGAAATCATACTCACAAATACCTTTGAGTTCATGATTCAAATTATAATCCTCTAGATCCAAATTCAAAACCACCCTCCCCACCCCAGTCTTTGTTCAGGGACCAGAACTCTCACAAGCATGGAAGTAGTACAAGAGTAGGCAAAGCCAGAATGGAAACAAAAAGATCTGGAAATACTCTCTTCAAATGATATTACAAAAAGCAGAACAAAGCCCCTCAGTGTCTTTGGGGAACTGTATAATGTACTGTTTTGACACAGCAAACTCAGAGCCTGCTTAGACAACACAAGCTGACAAGGAGAGCAACAGATTCTGCTTTGTACTTTTGATTAGGATAACTAGCAAGGACTTTTTCCTGATATGTTCATTCTCATCTTGGTTCTGAAGAAGATAAACTTTTCAGATCTAAGTTTGGGTGGGCTTTGCTTGCTTGTTTTCTGCACAGCAAGGAGGGAAACATGGTGTTTCCCTCCCTAGCTGACTGCATTTCTGGATCAAGAGTTCATCTTAACTGAGACAAATGTCTCTGACCTGCATCCCCTGTAATATTAATTGTTGAAGAATGTTTGTCTTGTGTTCAGAAAGTCCCTATCCCACTGCAGACTAACTTCTCCTATACTGTTCTCCTTCTGTTATGGTTTCAGTAGAAAAAGTTATGTACTGCTTCCCTTCCTAAAACAGCAATGACAGACTCAATGTCAAGGTCGCTATTACTGCCTTTGCATTCACACAGGATTACTTTTTTGATTCATATTTTCAAAGAGACCCCCATGCATTCTGAAAATGAAGTTTTACCATCCTGTAGAAGCCTACTAAAAACCTCTCTGCTTACCTGAGTAAAATTTTTAGCAGGAGTTGGTAGCCATCATTACTTTCAAATTCTGTTAATAAAGCTGATGATACGGGATAAGAATCTTTCACAAAGCACAAGACAATACTAGCAGCTTCACACACATCAGAAGCAGGTAGAGTATCAACCAGTTTAAAGAGATTCTGAACAGCTATTTTAATGCAGTCCACAGCTGTGGAAAAAAACATATAGCAGGTATTCAGTCAAACAAGTTCAAAATTACTAACAAAAATAAAACAAGTTTGAAAAGTTATTTCTCAGTAAAACAGTAGTCAATTAAGTCTTTTTCTGACAGAACAGATAAGAAGAGATATGAATATCACACTCATTTCAGAAGCTACATGAAGAACATTGATGGCTTTACAGTATGCATGCATTTCTTTGCTTAACCCACAGAAGCTGATTTAGTCTCAGGAGTACAAAACTTCCATCCCATCCACTCACCAAAATTCATATACAGTGATTCCAGCTGTCTGAGTACAAGGTAAGCAGAGACTAACAAATTTAACTCTCTGTTACTAAGTCAACCACACATTCTGTGCAGAGTTCACAGATTAATTCTTTACTCGATGAGGCATATGTAATGGGGTACACACATTTTGCTCCGAGCAGCAATGCCTAGTTTTCTTGTCTAATCTGACACCCAGTCCTTCCAGGACAGCTTCAAAAATGTCTAAACAGGTCTTTCAATGTCACCGAGGAAGCCAAATTTTTAGTTTAAAAAATAAAAATACCTATATGCAGTTATTCCATGACAAGGAATACTGACAGTAAGGTTTGCATTATAAAACTATTTTTTTCCCTTCTAAGAAATTGAGACTTGTGGCCTTTTCACTTCTCAATAACAATAAACAAATAAACAAACAAACAACAACAAAAAATTCCTTATATTAATAAAGCCTAGGAAGAAATGAGGATGTAACTCATCCAATTACGATGTTGTCCCAAAGGACACTATTTCTCTGGCAGTGCCTCTAGCCCTGTATTTAGTGTTCATGAATCTTAGGCTCACAGACTGAGTCACATAACTTAAGGAAAAGCATATTACAACTTGCTCTTGCCTACATCAGTGTGATCAAGTGGGATTGTCTCTTGCCTGTAATTTTATTTTTTGTGTTAAAAACTCCTCAGTTTCCAGATGGCTATCAGAGCTAATAAAGCTCCTGTCTACAAAGTCAAGAGCCCATTCTTTGCAGTTGACTGACTATCAGATGATGTAGAGGTAAAAATCCATCCTGGGGAGAATTCTTTTGAGAATTCATTCTCAGTGGAACTATGAGGAAAGGAATAGCCAAATTACTAAACCAAACCTTGTAGGTACATGATGCTGTTTTTGGTCTGAGTCTTTGAAATTGTTCTCAGAACACGGCCTGTAGGTACTTTCCACGACTGACTGCACTGGTCCCAGAGAGAAGCAGTTGCTATAATTAATGATTGAAGCTTATCAGCTGCCAGAAGTTCCTCTACACCTTGTTCCTCTTTGTACATGTTAAGCATTATCTGAAAAGCAAACAAACATCAGCTACAATAAAACCTCTGCAAATATCCAGGAGATGAAGAAAAACCCATTGGCAGAAGGAATTATAAGTTTGATAATAATGTCACGAGAAAGTAGCAGCAGTGAAATGAACAAATAAAACTACCACTAGGATATTCTTAATGGATTTTTTCCCACTTAAAGTCACACTGTTTTGTTAAATAAAAAAATAAGAGATATAGTGGCATCATCTCAGATTGTTTTATACTGCTCCTGATGCTTGTTCAACAGTTTTCAGTACAAAATTGCTTCTTTTTGTGGCAGTTTGAATCAATCACCAGCTAAGAGCCTAAGTGTATCTGAGTGCCCAGGACAAATGAAATCCCAGAGGCACATCTCACCTCAACAAGCATTTCCTGAGTTTGAGTGTCATCCTCACTTGTCTCTCCATCATCACTGGTTTTCTTCAGAGGAAAAGTGAAGAAAAGGTACAGGCACTGCATCAGAGCAGCTGGAAGTCCAGATCCAATGATGTTCCACAAAGTTCTCTAAGTAAGCAAAATAAAGATCAGTCCCTCCAGAAGCTGACCACAGTTTTCTTGTGCTTCTACACACTGAGAGTAATCACGGCAGATGAAAGAGCTACTTGAGCATTTTATCCTTATGAGTACTCCAGGGCACACAAGACTGGCTATCATACAGCATGGCTGTACAAATCCATTTGGCAGAAGTAAATACACTAACCATGTGTTGCCATAGATGTTCCCAGGACTTCCCACTACAGCCTTGACAGAGATTCTATGTCCTGCATATAGAGACCTACAGTCAATAAAGCACACAACCTGAAAACTAACTATCAGCTGAACCAGCAGCAAGGCCAGGGACAGACAGTGCCCCCTTTACCATTAGTTTCCAGGACACCCTGCAGCTACAGAGGCCTGGTATGTTAGAAGCATGAATTCTTCATTCCCTCCTTGACTCAGCATGACAGCAATTTAGCTATAATGCCTTTGCTTTTTTTAACTGCACACACACTTCTAATTATAGGATTCATAAATGCAAGAGACAGTTTCTTCATAGTGTTTCTCAACACTTATTCTTGTTTTCACCATGGCTGTGTACAGCTTCCAGAGAAGTCCCAGTGTGTGTGCTTGGCATACAGTAATCAGAGCAAAAACCAGAAGCAAATTAAACAGAAGAATGAGGTTTGTGATATGAAGTTTTGTGAGTCTGTGTGCTACAAAAAATAGCAGTGTCTTAAATCTGTGAAAAACACAAAGCTCATCAGAAACTTCATGCTGTAGCTAACTATATATAATTTTATGGAGGTCCTTTTGACACAGAACATGTCCCCTAGAATCTGACAGAAAAATTTTATTTTTGTGTGTTTGAATAAGACTCAACTAAATGTCGTGGATAAACACATCACTGATGCCCATCAGCAGGCTGTACTGCTGATGCCAGTCCGCATTCAAGATGGCTGTAAATGTAGAATTTGTGAAATGCTTCAAAGCAAGAGTCTATCAGGATGGAAAATTCAACTACTGCATTACCAGGCATACAGGTCCCTACTAGTTACCTTTTTGATATGTAAATTGGAGTGATAAAGAAAGGCTGAAGAGCAGTAATACACAAGGAGGGGGGGGGAGGAAAAGAAAAAGCAGAGGAACACTAGAAAAAATAGCTGTCTGATCATCAAAACAAAAAGGGTATCTGAAAGCACATAGTGCTTACTTCTCTCTTTCAGAAAAGCCTGGCCTATAGACCTGGTGGTGTGTCCTCTGATTGTACACCCTGGGCATACTGAAGCTCCAAGAACTGGGGATAATGCAAACACTGAGACTTAGGTGTCCCACTGTTGGGGTGGCTACACAGTTCCTCTGAAATCAAAAGAAAAAAGTCCTCTACAGTAATTTCTCTTACCAAGTCAGTCTGTGAGAGCAGATACACTGATTTCAGGAGCAAATGGCCATCTTCTGCTTCCACTTTCTGTAGCAGGAATTGCTCCAAAGCCAGACGAGCTTCTTCTGTTACCACAAAAACATAAATCAAAGATGAAAATGCTGTGTTGATGCAGATTCTTAATAGATCTGACAAATTTAACAAAATTACAGTAGCAGGAGTCCACTGAATGAACAGAAAGACATAAAATTATTTTGACCCAGCATCAGGCTCAGGTCAGTTCATGTAAACTATGTCTCAAGCTGAGAAATTTCACTGGGAATACCAGCTCAGTTCACGAAGCCTGTCAGCTGACAGTGCAAAGAATGTACAACAGCCACCAGGAAAGCCATGTGTGGCTGGCAGTATTTTTCTCATTAAAAAAAGCTCCTCAGAATAATGTGTAACCTACTCTTTAACTCTTAATGCATTATACATTATACATTTCCAGCTACAGAAGTTCCAAACCCAAGATCAGCAAGGCCAGGTCTTCAGTGCAATCACCTAAAACAAGTGCCAGCTCACACCTACTGAAATATCTGGCTTGATACACAGTATTTTCCTATTCCCTCTTTATTTCCAGCACAGAGGACAGCTGAAAGACAGCACATTTCCAGAACAAGTGGATCCAGTGGATATGGTAAGAGATCCTTACCTGCAGGTTTGCCATTGAGGGTCCTCTTAATTTCTTTAGTCAGAAGCTTGGAAACCTCACTGGCTAACAGCTGAATGTTGGGGAATACGACAACTCCAGCAGACTGTTCCCAGGCCTGAAATCCAAGCACAACTGTTAAGTCTTTCTGACATATCATGTCTTTGGTAGACTGATAAATACTAATAAATATAAAGAAAGAATGATAAAGCTAACAATCCCCTGCAAAATTCCCTTTCCATCCAGTATAGTCCATTAAGCAGCCTTTTCCAGACAGAAAGGAGTATAACACTACAGATACAGAAGTCAACCCTTTGAATCACATAACACACCTACTAGAGAGCTTTTACAGTATTTTCTGCATTGAGTACAATCAAAACAATGTAAATATTTGTCATACTCTCTGTCACTAATCCTTTGTATCAAAAATTATGCTAGTCCCTTTCAAAATACAACATAAACACCCTGAAGAAAAACAAATTTATAAACATTTTATAAATAAATTTATTATTTACTTGTTCAAGAACGGACAAGTAATTAAATGCAAAGCTTACTAGATAATAGCAAGACTTGTTAATTCTCAGTTTGGCAAACAGATCCCCTCTTAAATGTAACTCTGCCTTTGGGGAAAAAAAATTCAAGAGCAATAAAAAAAAAAATTCCAGCAGACTAATACTATCACATCCAACTGGCCTCCAACAAGCAGGTACCATTACTTTTATACAGAGCATCTAATGCTATATACATTAATGTATTAGCAACAGTTCAGCATTCACCTCTAAAAACCAGCCTGAGACACCTCTGTCCCCAGCAACCTTGAAAATTTCTTTACAAAAGTCTCCTTCTAGAAGCTCTGAAAAATCACACTGTAAGTTCAGATTATAAAAGGAAGGTAAGAAAAATAATGACATTTTCCTAAAATAGTTTGGAGCAAATATAATATTGTTTGCCAAGAAATAAGTGTAACTCTTTGTAAAAGAAGATCTACAAATATTTCCTTCCCTACCACGCTTTCAACTCCTTGTTATTTCATCATGGATGGCAGCTTGTGGACAAACTATTTTTTTCCCCATGTAGTGCCAGTTGTCTGTCAGTAATCAGGCAAGCACCTACTTTTTATTTCATTTTACTGCAGCCAACACAGTAAAATGCACCCAACTTTTCTTTCTGTGCTACAAGAGTGAAATGCAATTGCACAGTGTGCCTATCAATAATTTTCAATCAATCAATCAATCAATCAATCATATTAAAAACAAACTAGTTTTTCAGATTTTGACCATAAGTTTTTTGCAGAGATACTCAGTTGTGAGTAAGATCCATCAATTCCTCCACTTTTGATGCAGAAGGGAGGGAAGATATCTAAAGAACAGAAGCAAGCTGGGCAAACACAATGACAAGAAACCTACAGCCACTTCAGGATATACAATGCTTGTCATTAAGCTACACCCTTTCTCAGAAAAAAACCCAGTCATCAAATGTTCATAGCAATGCTACCAGTCCTTCTCCCTACAAACTGGGCCACTAATGTTCTGATTTAATTTTATTGGTGATCGTTCCATGGGTCAGACATCAATCTTTAGAATACACTGCCCTTTAAGAACAGACCTAATTATTTCCATATTCATGTTCGAGCCTATAGAAGATCTGTATCTGGAAGCATATTAACCTGACTCCATTCCAGGATGTCTGCCTTCAGGCGAAACTCGAATAATATGGTATCAACGTAATATGATTTTCTTTCTTCCTCTTAAGTCTGTTTCTACATGTTTAAGATTCTGTCACAAGTTCCCCGTGTCTGCTTTTACCATCTGTCCTTCCTACTCCATAGTTCACGGAGAGATGTTAGTTCAAAAGCCAGCCATGCAATAGAACGTTCTGATACTTTCTGAGGCACCGAGAAGGAAGACACAGAAGGCACACTAAAATGACTCCCTAGGCCTGAATCACAAGCAGATGGCTAACATTTTCCTCCTACACCTTTTCTTTCTATGTCAAGGAGTATCAATGAGTAATGAGCCCCCATATCCGAGGTGTCTCCTGGTTAGTGCCCCCTCTCTCCAGCCAACTGAGTAAGAGCTAAAGATCTCTTAAATCAAGGATGTAAGGTTAAAATGCTCTAGTCACATTTCTAAACTTAAATGCCTGCAAAGCCCTGCAAAGCTCCACTAGTACATCTAAGAAAAGTGGGGGGAAGAATCTCTCTCTCGGGGCATAAAATCAAGTGTTAAGCTAATGAAAAATTCATATCTCCATTCTGAATATATTCTGTAGCCAAAATTTCCTTTAAAAATTTTAAATCCTCTTTTTGCAAGCCTTACTGCAGTTCAGGAAATCAGTTTCTAGAATCCCAAAGCGTGTGAAGTTCAGCCCTGCAGAAAGGAGACACGCAATGGGTATGCATATGTACAACATTGCCAGCCCCTCAGCAATACTCACCTTGCCTCCTGAGAACAATTGTCCTTTGACACAGTGGTACTAAATTTTATTTCTCATGTGTCATGATAAATAAGCAATTTCCTTCTTTGCTGTCCAATTTCAAATTCCTAAGACTTCTAGATTTTATAACTTTTATCACCTTTGTTCAGAAACAACTCTCTCAGTCCTCTGAAAATTATAATGGCCAGTCTTCGAGAGCGAAGATTTGGGAAAGGTCATTAACCCTTCGAGCCTGCGCAGTGGATTTTTTAGGTGAGACACAGCGTGCGCTGAACTGAGCCCACCCTTTAATCCTGAGGTTCATCTGCCGGGGCCGAGCAAGCTTGGACAGTGGCAGTGAGGGTCTCAGGACGTAGGTTTGTTTAGAATGACCTTCTCTTAGATGGATTGCCACACAGGGCTAACGAGCTCCATCTGCCCGGGGGGCCGGGAATCGAACCCGGGTCGCAGCGGTGAGAGTCCTGCACCCTAACCACTGGACCACCAAGGGCCTCTGAAAATTACCGCCACGTGAAAGGCATCCTTGTTATTCATAGTTAATGATCAGCAAATGTAAAGATGTTGTATATAATCTTATCACACCAAGACTTGCTTACTTCATGTTCATTATGTGGTATTCAAAAACTAAAGCTGCAAGACAACTCAGAAACTTGGAGATCTTGGAATTTCAATTTTATTTTAAGTTTGAGGCAGGAAAAGCTCAGCAGAAGAATTCCACAAAAAGCCTTTTGCTTACAAGATGGGGAGGGAGCAGTTTGGAGAGACTATCTTCCACAGCAAAGCCTGTCTTCATTGGGATGAATTAATACCCTCAAAAGATAAAGGATGTGTGTTTTCCATGGACCTTCAAGAAGAAGGAAGACAGGAGGTCTGAAAACAGTACAGAAAAAAACCAAAATAGATGACTGCTGCTCCAAGCACAAAGGTTGTTAGTGTGCTGCCTCAAAAAAAACAGTGAAATTTTCAGCATGCCATTTTAAAAGCAGACCTATGGAAAGGGAAGGTACTCCTTTACAGAAAACTGTCAGATTATCAGTCCTGATCTGACTTTGAAGAGCATTCTTTGAAGGCTGAGAAAGGAACACTGCCCCTTTGCAAACACAGAAATTTTGTGATCTGATAAAGCAGTGGTGAGCTCCCAAGACAGCAAAGCCTGCCCCGGCACATGTAGTGTTATACGCAGAGAGAGAGATTAATTTGCAGTGACAGGTTCATATGCAGAACAGCTCTTCAGTTCAAATATAGCCTTTGGTTCAGAAGGGGCACTCTTCTATGCAAACAAATCCAGAAGTTGAGAGGAAGTGGTGAAAAGTGAAATTTGTTCAATAGTCATAAAGTATCTGTAGGATCATTTAGATTTATTAAGAAGGCCACTTCTGAGACTCCAGGCTATACACTCATTGCCTTTTGAGACCCCTCCACTCATTTTGCCTGCACTGCCTTGGACCAGGGCAAGCTTGTACTCAAACACAGCAAACTCTTCACCATAGGCACTGCCAGATCCTACCCATAACTCAATTGTTTTAATCAGACTGACACCAGTGAGTGCCCTGTTTCAGTGCTGTTCACTGACACCATCATCTACAGGGATTTCACCGTGCACCAGGACTTACAAGTTTCATGCTCCATCCAGCTGAGTGAAACGTTTATGACTATCTGGAAGTTATTCCTGCTTTACTGTCATGGACACCAAAGATTTCACAACCCTGAACACAGTGAATTTCCTACACACTCCATTTAAAATGTCAGTCCAGAGTATCACCTTTTATGTCTCACAGTACTTCCATATAAAGAGTGACCATGCATTAACTTTTTTTTTTTCACCTACACACTGGCTACTTTTTAGAAAACCAGCTCAGCTAGGTAGCGAACAGATGTGTCTGAGTTTGGTCACTCAAGAATACTGAAAAATCACAAGTACAGACAATTGAAATATGCAATCACTAAAATATGGTTTCACCAAAAAGATGCTTTTGGTTTTTTTCTGAGACATAGTGAGAGAGTGTAAAAATGCAGATTTAATACTCATAAATACCCAATGTAATTCAATAGAAAAACAAATCTTCTGTACTACTACATCACCACAGTATATTTAAATATAGGCCAAGCTTTCTGCTTTACTCAGTATATGCTCTGCCATTCTATCACTGTATGGTCCACTCAAACAGTGTCCTGTATATTTCACAGACTCTAGCAAAGAAAACCAACCCATAAGGCTCCCGTTCACTACAGAGCTCTTCTAATTTCTCCTTTTAACATGGCCATCTCAGAAACTGTTGGCTGATGGAAGATCTAGGGAATAGGGTAGGGCAGCCTGCTAACTAAAATGTTCTGGTTCTCAGCTGTGTCCCTCACCCATGGTATGATCTTCTTCTCCTCGTTCCATGTCCCCAACACAAATCCTCTCTCAAGCACTAAAATTAGACATTAGCATGGTCATTAACCCCCAAATTCCATCTTAAGACTGTATTCCTGCATTTCCCCTAACTGGCTGCATGCCACAACCACATTTTCCCAGACTGAAAGTGTGCTCAGCCTCCCACTAAGTAATAAAATACACGAGACAGACATGAAGTGATCTCTTCACTTTGAAAGATTCCTGTCTCATCAACATATTCCTTGCCTTCAAGAATAGAATTTAGCCACTCAGGAAAGTAAAACAGTGTTCCCTCATACACTTTTCTCATACTAACTCAGCAGGTTAGGTAGATGGAAGAAGGAGTACTTTTACTCTCAATGGAGTAAAAGCATCACCTAGACAAAGGGATCCTGCTTCAATTAACTACACTGGCAGTTTGGGTGACCACAGAATGGATAGGGCAACAGAAACTCAAATTAACATCCTTGAACAAACCTTTAAGAAGAGGGGAAGAAAGTCCAGTAGCCTTCTCTGTTGATCCTCTGGGACAAGAAATGGAGCCACCTGCTCATACTCTACAAATTGTTTGCCTAGAGCCTCCCACTGGAGGGTATGGCTCTGGGGCAGCTTGTCCTTGCTGTGTGCAGGCTTCTCCAGCTCCTCTGCCGTGCCTCCATCATCAGGGCTTTGCTCTTGCTGTCCTGCTTTGTAAGGTGCATCCTCCAGCTGCCATGTGAGTTCAGCTGCTTTGTCCATGCTGAGATGAGACCAGATAAAGATACTGTGTTATTTACAGTTAGATCATCTCTTACTGTTAAACCCTCCCATGGAACTAGACACTGACAGTTTTAACTGTTGGAGTTAGAGAGTTTAGAAACATGGAAACGCTCTCAGTCATTGATTCTTTTACAATTCTAATGGCAAAGCACCCTGCTTCTGGACAAGAATATGAACAAGCTGTCTGCCATGAGACATGTGCATGTGCTACATAACTCATCTGGGCTTTGACAGGACAAACAGGCAAACCATGCAGCAAATCTGTATTCCAGCCCCAGCTTTGCCACTGAGCCAGATCCTCTCCCATATACTTCAGTCACCCCAACTGTAAAACAAGTTATAATTATTACCATCATCAGATCTTCAACAGAAGAGCACTAGCCAAGAGCCACGTTACACATTTCATTTAGTATGGATGCTAAATTAAGCTGCGCATCACTGATACACGCCCTACCTAGGGTGGGGCTGAAGCCCTGTCTGAAATAGGAGCTGTGTGGAAAAGGTAAAGGTTCTCCACATGGGTGTGCTGGCCCAAAGAGACAGCCAGATTCAGCTCTTCTATATGGCCGACATACAGCTCTGTACAATAAGTAGGTATTTTCACTACAACATTACTTGTTTTGCTGATCCTGCAAACTGAAGTGGATGGAGCTCCTCATTGAAGGAGCATGGTACTTCTAGAAGTCTCATTTCCAACAAATTTAATTTAAAATGAGTCCATCTTGCACTATAGGTAGGGGAATCCTTCTGGTACAACTCATCTCAACCCCAAGTCTTCTCATCTACTTTACAACTCTGTTTTCATCCGTAGTCTTTTGGGAGGTCATTGACACAGCCTTGAATCCATGGCAGCTCCAGTCCTCTGCCACAGCCTTCTGTGAGCTCACCCTGCTATGTTGAGCCTACAGAATGACAACACACCAATGGAAATCAGGCTTCTCCAGTTTCCATCAAAGTCATCCATATGCTTATTGGTATCTAGGTCATTGTCTGACTATTCAAAATATGACAGGACAAATTATCACACTGTGGGTAGGCAGATGGGAGTCATCAAAATTAATGTAGCTCACTTTACTTACCAAGTATATTGTCTTTTAAGAGCCTAGAAGAATCTTTAACACATCATTACACCCCCCTCAAAGAAAAACGTCAATGTAGCTTCATCTCTAGGAAATAGGTTCTTTCTCTACAGTGTCTCTTTGATTGCCACTCTAGCTTGTCAATAAAAATGCTAAAAAGCAAATATAACTAAAAAACTGAGTCAGATCTGCACTACTAGTACATATATCCATTAAAATAAATTTTAAAAGAGTATTACAAGCTTGGTTTAGAACTATAAGCCAACACTACATTTGGGATTCTCTTCCTTCACCTTCCAAAAGTTACGCAGTTAGTTAGCTTACTTCTTGCATTCTGCCCACTCCAGGCCAGATGAATCAGTTTCCCTTCCACACTCATGCAGCAGCTCCACACTGTGCAGATGAAGAGCATGACATTATCTTTACGCTGTGCACCACAACACCTGCAGCAAGCTGACAGTCCCAGCAGACACCTATGCCTGGATGTAAATGCCAATCCTTCACAGTATGGCAGAAGCTAATTCACTCTACCACAGCCCATACTCTGTCCTTTGTGGGAGATGGAGGGCTATGAAATTTTGATCAGCCTCCAAGGAACAGTCAATCTAAAATTTCCTACCTCAACAACATTTTGTGTTTCACTGCTGTTGTTTTCTCTAATTATCTGTGTTAAGACAACACAGCCTTGTGAGCAGAAAAATTGTGATGACTGTCTGCATACAGTAAACAGGAAGACTCTGTTCCTCATGACTGTGTGGGAGTTACATTTGTCATATGTTATACTTAAATCTGGTGTGGGATTTTGGCCCGCTTGAGTCATCATGAAGCTGTACAGTGTGTTGATTGAGGAAGCCTGGGTACTGTTCTAGGGGCTTCAGTGAGCATAGTTCACTTATGCTGCTCTCACATCCCAAACAACACCACCATTCTCTCCCTAAAGGAAATGTCTCACCTTGGAGGCTACTCTGCTAAGCCTAAATCAATGCTAAGCAACAAGTAACTCATTCTCAGTGCCTACACTCAACCTTTGTCATTTGCATTGAGAAACCCAAAGTTCTTTACAGAGGCATTCTACATATGGTGAAACTAAGTCAGGGAGAGGTGGAATGAAGTGCCTACGCTGGCCTCAGAAGGTCCGTGACTGACCAATCAACTTCCTATATTGCACTGCATAAGTCTGGCCCTGCAAATGTTTTAACCATTTTTCTCTCTTTCTATTCACACTTCACTGAGCAGGCCTCTCTTGTCAGTGTCACAGTTAAAGCAAGCGGGGATGGTCACTCAAAAAATGTTTGCTCTGTGAATCCATGCAATGAAAGAGTTCTTCCCATCTCCACAGAAACTCATAACCAGATATGCACACACAACTTCATTAATGAAGACCTAATTGTAACAGGCTATGTAAGGCATCTAAGTGTATGTGGAAATATTTAATCTCCAGAAATACATGAAAGCAAAATGAGGATTATTATTTTCCTTATTATTTGTTCCAAACTATCTGGACTACAAAAGACATATTAGACTAAATATCAGTCCTCTGGTATTAGTCTGTTGACTCCATTTGTACTATCTGCTTTAAATATTACTTCTCCTAATAGCCTTTTCTTGTGTCTACATTTTGATTAAGACTTCTAAGTCCTTTACATTTGCTCTTCTTCTTAGAGGATAATTATTCTTCTAGACTAACCACAAAATCACAGGGTCCAGCATTCAAATATCTTTGGTATTAAGGATAGATTAGATATTTTGAAAACATCTTATATGTTGTTTCTCTTCTACACTCCACCATTTGTTTTGATCCTCATGTAAGTTAAGAGCTTATTTCAGCTTTGATAAGTTTCTTTGTTTGATTCTTGATTAAGTTTGATAAGATACTTTTTGATAAGTATCACAATGATACAAAAAGTAAAGTCTAAATAATAAAGGTTTTAGAAGACATGAAAGTCAAAATGTTTTAAATAAATCTGATGCAATCATTCAGAAAGTAGTGAGAGGAAATGTAACTTAATCATGTATTTTCCCTTTTTTTCTAAATGAAGCTCGTGTGAAATCACACGGCAATGTTGCTAAGTCTTTTTAGGCTGAAAAGACAAAAGGGAAGAAAGGCCTGACCAAAGCTGGCAGAAGAACTGGCAGAACACTGTTACTAACAGCTTACTAGTTGAACAAACATGATTTTTTAAATGACAGTTTATTTATCTGTGATTACCTCCCCCAGCAGTTCAAAGAGGGATCCCATTCAGCTACAAAATCTCAATTTGCACCAAGATCAAGAAGTTTACTTATACATTTAAAATCACTTGTTATCACAGCCAGATGGTTGACCAAAAGACAATCAAGTCTCATACCATATTTCAGAGACTGGTCCACTTTTTTACAGTAAGTATCTGCAAAAAATGTTAGATATTTGAATGCACAAGGAAATCTTTAATCTCCAGAAGTACATGAAAGCAAAATAAAGACTACAAATTGCCTCCTTATTTACTCCAACTGTTCTAATGACAAGAAAAATATTAGACTAAATATCAGACTTCTACAACTACCTGCTTTAAATATTCCTTCTCCTAATAGCCTTTCCTTAACTATTAAATCCCAGGATTCTGGTGGCTGTCAGAAACACACATCTCAGAGCGTCCCAAAAATCCACTGTGATACTCCTTTATAACTCTTTCCTTTCTCTGGCAGCTAAGATGACTGTTTAATGAACACAGTTATGACAGTTAATAATTTTAAATGCTAAAAACAGGGATGCCACTACCTCCCAAAGAAAGCTGTCTGATCCAACAAAAAGCTGTCAGATCCAACCAATAGCAGGTGTCATTTGTTTTTTCCGTGAAACATGGTATATCACAAATTCTTGTTCTCTTCCCATTCAATCACAAACTCTCTCCTTGTGGCTCACATCACTCTGTGTTCACAGGAATCACAGCACCTCAGAATGAACAGTGTGACAGATGCTGTCCACCTACTACCCTCTTACCTTTGTCCCTCCTATTCACCCTGGTTCTTCCTCCCTGAACTCCTTCTACCTTCCTTATCTACTTCTATCAGTTCTATTTCTCATAGTTCATGAGACAAACTGAAAAAACACCACCAAAAAGATTTACACTTAAATGTCACTCTATTTACGTTCTCCAATAGGAGGATTGCAATAACTTAAATCAAGTTGCAAAATTAAATATCCTACCCAACCTTGCCAGTTCCATCTAATCAACAATTTACAGGGCAAGGTATTCTCTCTTCCTATGTTCTGGCACAGTGCTTTGTACAATAGGATCCTAATCTGGCTAGTGCCTTGAAATACAAATCACTGACAAAATTCAAGTAACAGAAGGGTTTTAAAACACTTTTCAACTTAGAGAAGCAGATATATTGGGTATACTTTCTTTTGAGATGTGGTCCTCCTGGAAGTGAAGTAATGTCCCCATCTCAAGAGCAGAGTGCTTCTGTTCAGTCATGGACAATATAGTAGTAACAAACTCAAGGACTAAGACCAGAGTAATTCTGACCATCTCAAAACAACAGCTCATTAGATAAGGACATTCAGTTAAATCATATCTAACAAGTCTTCACTAGTAGCAGCAACAGATGTGCAATCCTTAAATCTGCAATCCTATTATCATCTCTAGGTTAAATGATACAAGCAAACCACTGATTCTTTTTCCTCTTTGAACTGCAGTTTGGGGCGAACTTTGACTGAAATCTTTGCTATTTGAAAATGGTCCTACCGTAACAAAGCAGTTGCAGATAATACTGCAGTTTCCTTCAACATTTAACAGTCTGTTCATTTTGCTTTCACGGCAAATCTCTTGACATACCTGGGCTCCTAGATTTGGCAGCTCCTGTTGCAGTCAATAACCACATCCAGAAAGAGTGTTACTGTTTCTGTCCTACTAGGCATCTTGCTGCATGCAGCAGCTCCCACTCTGCTCTTTAAACTTTCCACTGTGAATCACCTGATTAGCTGCTGCACTTACTTCCTGAGGAAAGCAGAAGTGAAAAGCAAATGAACCACAGCTCAGGACCCACCAAGCTCCCAAAGCAACTTAGAACAGCTCAGCTAACACACAAACCTGGCACGCATACCTTGCTTCTGCCCGAGTCAAGAGTAACCAGGTATTTTGCCCTCTGTACCATATTCACAAAGGAGGGGGGGGAGAGGGAGTGGGATTTCTTTCATTTTGTTTTTAAATTTAATGTTTGCAAAACTACTAGAGGAATACAGCACCACAAAGCTCATGCTTTCTGTGCAACAATCTGGGCCCAAAGGTCAGGCAACTGTTGGAGTCCTTCCTCAAATGCAGCACCCTTAAAATAAATACATTTGAATGCTGAGGTGAATGCTTGTCTCTGACATCTCTAGTAAAATGGTCAAGGCAGCTACTCAGATCAAGAGGCAAAAAAGCATTATAAGCTCATTGACAACATAAATGAATCTAGATAGCTATGGGCTTGGGGAAAGATTATTTCTCAGTTTTCTAGTTGCTTTTTTTGTTTCATACATGTGAAAGGCTTTATAACTGTTTTGCAACATGAGGTGGAGTTCAAAGATTTTTACATGGGAAATTCAAGTGTTTCCAACTGCTTCTCCCCAACAATTTTATGGTGACCTTGAGAATCAGTGAGATCATGGCTTTACAGTGACTGAAACCTCAGGGGACTTTATCCTAGGTGGTTAAAGCCATCTGTTTCTCTTAACATCTACTTCACTCAAATGCTTGAAAAAGTGTTCAGGAGGAAAACTTAACTTTCTCTTCAAGCTAGGCTGCAATTTATCT